CTACGGTGTATGTAATGACAGCCATGGTGCTTAAAAAATGGAATGTTAAGAGAAACTTGTAGTCCATAGAGTATATTTGAAGAAATACATTTAAGATTACACTCTAGTTTTCCAAGACGTGGTGTACCAGATTCACATGGTGAAGATAATACTAAATACTGAACTGATCGATGTACATGCTCTGAATGAAATTTTTGTAATTGGATCATTATTCAGCTCAATCTTACATATTACCTGCTATCAATTGTAGGTTGCGTTGCTGAAAAGAGAGCATCCATAAATCATTCCTCCATTCATTCATTCGAAAATTGTTAGTAAAGCTCTTCCTAGGCATCAGGCACAGTGCTAGGCATCAAGATTTCAGGTAAACAAATGTTACTTCACAAGAAAATAAGATAAGCAATTAGAGAATTGACATTGACCATGAGGGAACTATGGTTTGCAGTTGTGAGGGGAACCTCTTGAGGAGCAAATTCAGATGGGAGGGACAGATGAATAGAAAGAGGCAAGCCAGGGGAGGGGACAGTTCAGAGTCCGTGGTAACAGACTGGATCTAGACCACAGTGACTTGGCCTAATGCAGTGGTTCCCAACCAGATTGGTTTTGTATTCCAAAGACTTTTGACAAGGTCTGCAGACATTTTTTGGTTTTTACACTTTGGGAGCAGTTACTACTGACATCTAGTGGAGAGAACACTGGGACATTGCAAAACATCTACAATACACAGGACCGCCTCCACGAGAAATAACTTCTAGCCCAAAGACATCGAAAGTTTTGAAGGTGAGAAACCCCAAGAAACTATAATAGCAGTAGAGCTGAAGAGAAGTAGATTAAAAAGAAGTTTTAGGAATTAAATCAGTAATATATGAAAATAAACTAGATGTGGGGGCAAAAAGCAATGGAAAAATCAAGAATGACCTCCTCTTTCCCATTTTAATAGCTGAGAGAAAATTGTATTAATACTGAAATACCGTTTAGATGTTGTGTCAGACAGAAATGGTAATTGGAGTTGGCTGCATGAATCTGGAGTTTAGAGGCCAGATTTAGGCAAAAGATACTTGGCTTAAAGATAATATTTAACATCATAAAATTATATGACATCACCTAACAGAAAAAGATAAAGATGTAGCCAAGAAATCAGAATTTAATACCAAATCAATTACATACTCCCAATAGGCTCCAAAAGCCACTGACCTTTTGTTTTCAGTGTCTGGGTAACAATATAAGTTAGACTCACATCTGGAAAACAGTTACATTTGAGTTCCTTAGGTTACTTCAAGCTATTTTTCTTTGTATCTAGTTAGTATCTAGAAAATAAGTCATTTTAAATGGAATAATAACTAAGGAATGACCCCAGTTCTCATAGGAACCATAAGACTGCTTGGTTAACAATTGCCATGTTATTAAAACACAATGTATGAATTTAAGTTTAATACTTCAGGAATGGGAAAAGAGGGTATGCATTCAATTGGACATTTTTATTCTTAAGAGAGCACTATGAAAAATTGTGAGTCAAGAGTGACTACCACATTCATTTTGGGCCAAAATCATTGGATGCATATGTGTACAAAATAAAGTACTTCTAAAAAGCACAAAAAATTAACAGCAGCTGAGGATGACCCATGAGTGACTCAAAACCATGAGTCTGTATATATGAGCAGCGAAGGGAGGCATTTTGACAAGGAAATAAATTTCAGCTTTAAGCGTCACAGAATTCTATAGATGATACTGAAAAGTAATTTAAGTGTCCCATTTATTCTTTAAGAAACCTCCTTTAGGAAATCTAATCTTTCTACCGCTATCAACCAAAAAGAAATGTTCACTCATAGCATTGAGGTTACACATTTAAAAGTAGCAATATTTCCCTAAATAGTATTGGACCAATTACTATTATCATACTACTAATTGGACCAATATTGTTGACTAATTTCCCACCAGACAGCACATTTTAGTCTCTGCCATATGGGGCATATTTAAACTAGAAATGCAGGCATAGATTCATTAAACAAAATTACAATGAAGGGAGGGCAGGAGAATGGGGAAAAATAAGAACCAAGATGGATTATGTAAAGGTGCAGATTCCCAATGATGAATGTCATTATATTGTACACCTTAAATGTGCCAGTAAAATTAATTTGAAATAAAGAAATACATACTGATACATACTGAGTAATAAGGGCCTTGGATATTACATATATGACCTCATATAATCCTTCAGGGGTGCTATTATACTATTTTTATTCTTCTCATTTTACAGATGAGGATATTGAGTCTTGGAGAGTGTATGAGTCAATATAGAAGGTTATGGGTCAGGTTATGCTGCAATAACAAACATCTTAAAATTTTAGTGGATGAAAACATACGTCTGAGTTCTCCCTGATTTGTTACTAGATCATTGATGTTCTGATAACTACTCAGAGCAACTTCCCTGCAAAAGACCACACAGGGATCCAGGCTGCTTTCCTTTGGATCTCGAGATCTTGTCTGAGTGACTCTGGCAGGAGAAGAAAATCCTGTGGGCCATCCCAGACCCTTTCACTGTCTTCCTTTTCACCCACCACTCCCACACTCATTTCATTGGCTCTAAACCCTTTTAAAGGGCACAGGCTTTCATTTGTCAGGGGAAGGACAGAACAAGATATGGGTAAGCACCAGCACCTGCTACACAGAGCGAAAGCAACTGAATCAAAGCTGAAAACCCAGAATCTGGTCAAACCTAGACTGAAGTATGGTTTTCTCAGAAGCTGATTTAGTTCTAGACCTTGAGTTCTCAAACGGTAGCCATGAAACATCTCCTATTTATTGGCCCTGGATGTACCAAGATAAGGTGGATGACTAAATGCATGTAACACAATTTTAGGTTTAAAAACTAGCCCTTTAACAGGTTTGTAAAAATATATTCTCACTTTAGAAATACTTAACCAGCCACTTATAAATTTCTCCTCTGTTGAGTTTTGAAGGATCACTTCCTCAACAAGACCTCGCGGACTCCTCAATGAGGTGATTCCTTCTTTTCCTCACCACCCCTTGCACCATTCTGTAAAAACCACCGTTTTTAATGCCTCTGAATTTGATGATGGCAGAAAGCATACTCCTGCTATGTGACTAGGATTCGGCACTATGCCTCACAAAAAGTAGGTTCCCCATAAATAATGCATTGGATGGATGGATGGATGGTTGGATGGATATTTTGACTGTTTTCTGAGGCAGGTCATGACGTTGTTTGATGCTCTCTGGATTTAAAAACGCTGCCCAAAATAAGTTGAAACTTACTCTTCTCCAATTTCTATCCAAGATTTTTATCTTTTGAAATTTCTTCTTATTTAACTAATATTGAATAAGGTTCCTTTAGCACAAGAGCTCTTCAAGTTTCTGAAGATAACGAGCATATGCCCCTAGTTCTTCGTGGTTCCCTCCATCAGTCCATGCAGACGATCCATCAGTAAGTCTCTTTCCTTACCTGTGGACGTGTCTATTTTTTCAGCTCTCTTCCCAAAGTGTCCGGAACCATTCACAGTACTTCAGATGTGCACTAACCTAACCAGCTTCCATCTGTGAGGTTATAACCTCCCCGAGAGAACAGATAGTAATTTTTCCCATTATAGGCTCTTCAGAGAAAAGTAGTGTCAGGCGGCACAGTCAGTCTGTATTTGATGAATGAATGAATGTATGAAAGAACGGATAACTGAATTTTGAGATAGGTTTATTTTTTTTAATTATTTCCAACTGCAGGCCATTGCTGCTGTTTTTCTTATAAATTAACTCAGTTTAGATACGTTCTCCAAAACTCCTCTTAAGAAAAAAAATTTTAAAAGCTCCATGAGATGTTAATTCAGAACTAGCAAACATGTATAGAGAACATTCCTCACAAAGCTCAAAGGAAATTAAGCCAACATGATCAAATGCTGATTTCCCCAGAGAAGTGTCCTTGTCCTTCTTCAGAGAAATAGTCTCCAAACCTACATTGTTAAAATAGCCTATTTCCACTGTTCAAATGTGACAGTCAGAAGAAATTAAGAAAAGCAGCCGCGCTGGAAGCTGCCTCTTTCCCAGTCCCGCGCTTGTAAATGGAAGCAATTTACGAGACATTATCTCAGGTCCAAATAGGAAAGGAGCCACTATCATTTAGAGTCCTGAAGGTTTCCCATTTCTCTCCTCCTCCTCCTCCTCCTCCTCCTCCTCCTCCTCCTCCTTCTCTCGCTCCTGCTTCGTCCCCTCCTCTTCTTCATCCCTGTCAGAGTTAAAACCGGAGCTCTGATATTCGCTGACGTATTGCCCTCCGAGAAAGCGATTCCCCATTAAACGATGGGACGCGGCACAGTTGGCCACTTCTCAGGGCCCCTGGCAGGCGCACGGGGACGTCCCTGCCGCTCACAGGGGACAGCCGAGGCCGCCTCTGCTGCGACCAGGTTAGGTTTCATGTGCCTGGAGGACGCAACCCTCGCTATTGACTTTCCAGTAACCCCGCGCAAAGTTGAGGGAGAGGGCGCGTGAGCGTGCGTGTGCGCGCGGAGTGTGCCCGGTCCGAGGGGCTGGGGCGGGCCGTAAGTACAGGGTGGGGCCAGCGAGGGGAGGAGAAAAGAAGCGCTCGCTCGAGAGAAGCCGGAGCGCGGCTCGGATTCCAGTAACCTGCCAGAGCTCCTCCGCGTTGGTCGGAGACCCTGCGCCAGCTCAGCCACTTCCCGCTCGCCTTCTGGGTTCTCCTTTCCCCTCTCCTCGCTCTCTCCGTCTGCACCCCCACCCGCACCCCACGCTCCACTTTTGCATCTGATCAGAGGACGAATGAGCAAGACGTTCCTGCACATTGAGGCAGCAACTTTCCTCAGCGGGGCTCCGGAGCGGGAGCGCGCTGATCCTCCGCGGTCTGCGGCCCGTGGAGGAAGAGGAGGAGCAGCAGTGATGGGCTAGGACCGGAGCGAGGATCCCGGAGCAGCTCAGCCTCGCGTTCCCACGCCGCTCCCCTCCACCTCGCTCCGCGGGGGGCGCGCGGGGTGCCGACCCGGAGCCCCCGAGGAGGATGAGGAGGGAAGCTGGCCCGAGCGGGCAGCATCTCACGGACGTGCGGCCGCGGCTGTGTCTCGGCAAAAACTAAGACAGTCAGAAAATGCAGCGCGGCACCCTCCTCGCCCAGCCCGGGCTCTGGACCGGGGACATCGGCTGGACGTTCCTCTATTTCCTCTGCTGCGCTCTCCCTCAGACGGCCCCGCAAGTGCTCCGGATCGGTGAGTGAGTCGAGAAAAGCGCTCGGGCTGCGGGCTCCGGGACGTGGTCGCTCCCCGCGGCCAGCGCGGGCGCAGCGGGTCCCGGGCTAGGCAGCTCGCGCCGGCGCGAGGTGGAGGTCAGGGCTCACCGAAGGCTGCTCGGAGAAGAGGGAGCCGCGTCACTGCCTCCCTCCTGGCGGCTGCGGGGCTTCCCCGGGAAGCGGGGTTGGCGGGGTTTTTCGATCCCGGCTCCCAGAACTCGGGCGATCGTGCAAGGACCCAGGCTCTCTTGGGCTGGCCCCCTGCTCTGGGCTGGAGGTCTCAGGCTGCGGCAGCCGCTGGAGTTGGACTCGCGGTGAGATCACCCAGCCGGCTGCCTGCACCCATCCCTCCAGAGCTACAGCCTTGGCCCCTAGCAACTTGGCCTCTGGGTGACCCGGAGGCAGGGATTGGGGAATCTCAAAAGTAGAACACTCGACCGCCAGGGAAGTGGGAACATCCCAGAGCCAGCCAGCGAGCCTAGACTCTCCAAGTTTCCATCTCTAAGTTGGGTTCTTCTACCTGAAGTCTACAAAGTGCGGAGTGGGGCAGAGTCGGAGCCTGACTTTTCTGGCTGAAGGTTCACGGAGTGGGGAGAACAATCAGACACAGCTCGGGGTTCTCTCTTGCTCCCCATTCTGCCCTGCCTGCCCATCTCTGAGCGTGATCTAATCACAGACCTAAGTAACTCCCTGGGAAACCCTAAGATTTGATCTCAAGGAGATAGATTACTGGGAGGCTGTCTATGGGAATCCTAGGGGAAAGGAGCTCAGAAGGGACTTGGGGGATTCGTGCACCTAAGTGCGTGGCAGCCTCCACCAGGATCCAGCCTGTGGAGGCATTCAGCAATTTCTGGGCTTTGGAGGGTAACACATCTCTTCACCTTCTTTCCTTGCAAATTAAATCCAGCTTCTATTTTGTTGTTAATGCAAAGTCTCACTGTGCCCTCCTTTTTCTCGGCCGATCCTCCAGTCGTGGAGAGGGCCAGCCACAGGTGAAGGGGTGACACTAGACCATCTCCCCACTTGTCTGCCTCAGACTTAGTGAAGCCCTGCACTCGGAGGGCTTGAGGCTCGCGCCCTTTCTAGGAAGGAGAGGGAACAGTGCGTGGTGCTCAGGTCTGACATGCTGAGCAGCAGGCAGCTCTCACTAACTGTACTGGTCTAACCTCACTTCACAAAATTTATAATCCAGTGTATTGTTGCAGAACACACCCATGGACCAAGAATCTAGCTAACTGCCTTGGATTGCCTTTTACCCCCATAGGCAAATGGAGTGTGCTTTTCATGAAAAGATCCCCAAGTTTTTATCACTGTACTTTTACTAAAGACTTGTATTTTCTGGACTATGAATAATGATATGATAATGTGCATTTACTGAGTAGTTTAAACTCTACTCGTAGAGTTACACAATACTTTCTTTCAACAAGATTCGCCACTGCTTACAATTCTTTGCCTGAGATGTATTCTAGCCTTAATATCCTGTTCTTTGAATGCAATCAACCATATTCAGATACTTTGTGTTACACTTTTGAGCAATACAAAATAAGTAATGAGTATGTGTTAGAATTTCCAATGTTTATTAACTTAATTGGTGTTTTACCTGTGTATTGTCCACCTTGAAAGAGGTAAGTTTAAGGATCTTAGAAATGGTGATACCAGCCAATATTCCTCTTGCTTGTAGAACAAACTTAGGTAGAATTTTCCTTCTGGCATCCCCCAAATCTAAAACTCAAAGCAGAAAATAATATTTTCACATATTTGTCACAGATCTGAGTATTTATCCAACCTCCAAGCAATCACAGGCAACCACTTAAAAGTAGTTTTCAAAGTGAAAGAAGTCAACATTGATTCACTGACTTTAAAATGTATGTCACATGATAGAGATTTGTTTTTTCTAAATGAGAGCTAAAGTGCATAAAGTGAAGCTGCAGGCCCTAGTGTTTACATGCACTACAAAGGTCTCACTCCTTTAGTTCTATATGACCTGTGTTTGCCATGGGCACTACCAACCTGTACATATTAATGAACTGGCACATATTTTTTAAATGGACAGTTTCACACCATGAAAACCAGCTTTAGTTCAGAGGAAGACTGCCTTCTACAGTTAATTTCTTGTGTCAGTCCAGTCTAACTTGGAATATAAAATATCAAAGGAATTGGGATCTTCACTTGCGTGTGTGTATGTGTATGTACATGTGTATGTGCATGTGTGTGAATGATTAAATTGTATTCACTTTCATCTCTTCTTTCACTTTCCGACAAACCACAACCACTCAACCAACCAACTAAAAGAGACCCTTGATTATTAACTTGTGTGATATTTAAGTAATATAAAATATCCTGAAAAAGTATAGCATTAATCACCAGGCATTTAATACTGTCCTTATATGGAGACATTCAAATGATTGAATGAATTGGTTGCTTGTCTATTGCTCCTGCTAAAGTGTCTGTTTAAATTTCAGTGATTGAGGAAAGCTATGAAATGAGAAAGAACTCATGTTGACTAAATATTTGAAAAGTGATTGAGAACTTATATATGCGTGAACATTTTGCACATGTGTATCAGAATACATCTTATGGTTGCAATTCTACGAAAAGTAAAGGACCATAAATGAGGTCCCAGAGTGTATGAGGTCTCATACTTCCCCTGGATTGGGGAAGTATCCCAGGAGCTGGTGCAGAAGAGAAATAGAGCCAGTGGCTGGGAATTCTGGGTGGCTTCTGGGATCATCCCTGCCTCTTTGTAGACACCAGTGTATATCAATAGCTAGGTAATTATCATGCTCATATAGTTGGTGTGAGAACTTCACCATTTTCCTAAATGATAGGTCAACTTATTACTAATGGAGTGGGATGAGTAGGTAGTGGCCCACCAGTGGGGGAAAATCCTTTCTGTACACCTCCAGCTTCTGGAACAGATGTGCCAAGTTTATAATAACAGAATGATGTGTCCCATTTCAACATACATAGTCATAGAGATGGTAGTAAAAGCAAAGAATTAAGGATGAAATGATGCACATCCAGGCTTTCTGATCCATAATTTGGGAGAAGTATAAACTTGGATCCCAGCTTCATAATTTACAAAGTATGTGTTTCAGACAAGGTTAATCAAATCTCAGCAGCCCTTTGTTTTCGCATCTGAGAAATCAAATTAAAACTATTGTGAGCTTCAGACTAGTCATTAGTAAAAATTACTAAAACAGGAAAAAGAATATGAAATGTCTTTGAGGAAAATCTGGATACATTAGTCACCTTATTGCTGCGGTTAATATTTTATTGTTAATTCTTATTATTGACATTTTCTTCCTGAACCAGGACTTAAAAGTTGATATAACATGGTCTTATAAGACTTCTAATATTAAATATCTTCACCTGTGAACAACAGTATTGATATATGTCTTTCCTATTCCACAAAAGAGAGTCAAAGATATTGATTTATGTAACTTACAAACAACCCACTAAGTAAATATATTATGTAACACATTACATAATTAAGTACTCCATTTAAAGAGAAATATTGTGAAAAGCTATGGGAGGGAAACTTACAGTGACAGCATAATTGTTTAAACACTTTCCTCAGTAGAGATACAAATCTATTTTACATCACTTGTATCGGCTGAAGTATCATTTAAAAAAATATTGTAACCCCAGACAGCCAAAGTTCCAAATAACATTTATACAAGTTTGCCTATATTTTTGTTTGAACCAATGACTTTTTAACTTTCATTTTTCACACTTCAAGTGTCCTTTGAACTCTTAGTCCTCTACCGTGTACCAGACACAGTTCTTGGTGCAAGACATACGGCAGCAAGCAAAAAAGGCAGAGGTGTCTGTCCCTTTTAAGCTTCCTTCTTGTGATTTACAACCTGTGTTACCACTAAAGCTTTTCATCAGACCTATTTTTCTCAAATATTATTCTCGTGGAGTTTTCAGTTACTATTCTGCCGTTGATTCATCATATCAATTGCCCAGTCGGCAGGGAACAGGTTCACAGCCTCTAGTGCATGGAGTATCAACAGTGAGAGTTCACGGTGCAGAACCTGGAGTAGAAATTCACAGGAAAGTTGCTCTGGTTTATGAAGATCTCTTTGACCTGAAGTAGATTCACGCTGAGAGAGCACTTGTACCCCAGGAAGTATTCTGACCCTCATATTAACTTGGAATACCTAAGTAGACCTTGAAAAATATGAGAAGGTGTGTAATAGCTCCATCAACAAGAAAAGACTGGCTAATATTAATATATTTCTGCAAATGAGCTGATCATTTATCTTGTTATTTTATTTGCATCTTTCCCCTTTTCAGGTAATATTTGGTTTACAGAGCTACTATTAACACTACCTAGAACTCAGCTTTACCTATCTTTCATCTGTGGTTTGTGACCTCCAGTTTCCATTGAGAGGAGCATGATTTAGTGACTCGGCTGAAACTCACACACTACTTGGTAGAAATGAAGGAACTTGGAAAAAGCTAGTCTAATTTCAAGTTTTAAGTTCCTTGCATTAAAATTTTACTGCATAGTGTATGAATTTGCATATGTACTTACATAGCTCTTTATACTAAACTGAACTCAAATATAAGAAAAGTGAATGGTTATTCCTAATTATGTGGGGATAAAAATAACTTAAAGTGAGTATCATTTATAATTGAGGAAATCAGCAACAAGGAAAGTTGCTACAGTTTGTTGACTCTCCAGAATTTCTCTTTAGGAAGGAAGGACTCAAGGAATGCAATAAAATCAGAGAAGCCCTCCTGCTACCTATTCCTAGCAAACACACAAATTATTCAGTTACTTGGGTTGGTTTTAGAGGAGGTGGTAGTGGGAGTTCTCATAGGCTTCCCATCTGCTTCTTTTCTTTGTTATTTCATTGATAATTATCCATTTAATATAGAAAGTAGTGTCTACATTCTTAGATTTTCCAAAAGCTATTTGCACCAGAAGAAAGGGTAATAAATGACCAGAGGTAGAAGGAAATCAACATT